TGTGGATTAGTACGATAATATTATAACTAATGTGATTTTCATAATATCTCGTAATCTATTTTTAACATGAAAAAAAATCTTTTTCCTTATCTATGATTTTTCAGGTTTAACAGTTTTTACATAAATTTGTACATTCTTTCTCTGCGATCTCATTTGCTTGCTTGTCATTATTTTCATGATTTCATAACATGAGCCAACTAAATTGAGTCATTAACTAATAGATTTATAATCTTACGTATACATATATAATATTAATCTTGAAAGACAATGTAATAAAAAAAATGATGTTTGAGATATGAAGGAATCAAATCACTAAAGTTGATTAAGATTTCAGTGTCCAACTGATTGAGTTGAAAGCATTTTGTTTTGTCCAATTAATCTTTAAAACACTTTGGCGTTTTCAAAGTATGGATAATTGAAGTTAAGATGGAAACGTAATTAGTTGGTTTGATTAAGCCATTTTCCTTATCCTTCAAACGTCCCCACTCCCCCCCCCCCTCCATTATAACCCTGACTCCAATTCCAATTCTTTTGGAGGTGAAGTCGCCATCCTACTTCCCCAATCTCAAATTCACCTTTTGAAAAAGCCCATCTTCCTTGTCCACATTCTGTGTTGTAACCACAAATTAAGCTAAGATGACATGGGACTTGATTAGAAGTCAAGAAAAACCTAAGCTCCATAATAGAGTGATGATAATTAGCATATGCCCGAGCATGTTGTTATATATAAATGTATTTTTAGGAATAAATGGGACTTGATTTATGTAGTTGTTTAAAGATATAGAAGCATGTTGATTTCATTTGGATTAGGGCAGATGGGGAGGAATAAAGGAGACTCAAGGCTTATACCATAAGATGACCGTACGGAATATGAAGATCTTTGGTACCCATTTGAAAGATAAGAATCTATGTGAAATGTACAACAGATAGAAGAGGAAAACACAGGAAAGGAAAAAGGTTAAATCGACCTAAGAATCCTTATATCAAAGTTGCCGCACGTGGGATGTTTATTTGGCATTTCAATCTTTTAGGACGTGGCTCTTTTTAAGTCTCATACTTTTGAACATGACTACGCCTTTCAATCATGAATTTTACATGGTGCATCTTTGTTACTACTTGTACCATACATTAAATGGAAAAAAAATGATATATTTAATTGGAAATTTATCTGAACTTTGTTAAAAAAAAAAATACAAGCAGTACATGGTGGGCAGGAGCATAAATCGAATTGTGTATTATCACATAAACCTTATTTTCGGTTATTCATTCATGTGCGTATAATTGTGTTATAAAAAACTTTTTTATATCTATTTTTCAAACAAAAAAATATACCTAATTTTTTTTATTAGTATGAGATTATAAAATAATATATGTTCAAAAGATTTTCAACCATTTGAGAATAAATATTTAAATATCTACACATATAATATGCTCGAACTCAATTTTTAAAAATAACAATAATCTTTAATCATTGAGATCGATTGATTTGTGTTCAAATAAATTAATTTAAATATACAATCCTAGTAATTATATTTAAAATGTTGATAAATTTAATAACTCGGGCTATTGAATTTTACTGATAGGAAATTACAGTGTGAGATTCACATTAATAGATAAGGATGCACAGGTGTGGGGTCGGGGGATAGTGAGAGTGGGCTTTTGTGGGGGAAAAGCCCAGAGGAGGGGACATTTCGTACTGTAGATAGGCTGGCAATGGGGCCCGGCTCTTTAATTTTGTTTTGTTTTGGAGCTCAAGGCTTGTCCTTGTCATCCCTTGCTTTCAGTGTTGTGTCACATTTTTGCGTCGATTAAATTCGGGATTTATGCCTCTTGTTACCCATGCACGTGTTGCCCATACTATCATCAATTTATTTAATAATTTTATACGAAAATATCATTCTAAACACATAAATAGTCACTGTGAATTTATAAAAATATACTCTTTGGTTAAATTTTGATGAATTGGTATTTTTTTCTTAATACGATTTACTCTAATCAAAATTACACCTTCCCTACATCACGATTTCATCTCTAAGGCAAGTGCACTGTTGGCAGTTGGGAATCATTTTCTTAGGCTTTCAACGTGATGAAATAATATTTCGTTGATTATAACTGCTATTATCGATGATATTAGTTACATACTTTAATATTTAATAATTTATTTTGATTGTAATTATTATTCTAATTAAACAAATTTGTATAGCATTGCATACACATTTTTCGTGATAATCATCTGTAAGATAATAAATGTTCATACAAACTTTGACACATAACTAAGTCATATATTTGAATTCATCAAGTGATCTCAAGTGAGTGTTATTCTTCTTAGAAGTCATAAGTTTTAGGAATATGTACTTTGTAAATGATTAAAAAAGATTCAGAACATATATCATCCTTATAATCATCTCAGATTATTAAAAAAAACTATCTCATATATCTTTATTTAGTTATAATATTTTCAAATTGTATCCAAAATTTGTATTTTGATTGTTTTTTTTCTACCATGAAGTATGGCACATGGGTGGGAGAAGAGAAGATGCTAATTGAGGTGAAGAAAATGCAAGGGTGTCCAAAATCTCAAGAACAAGAAGACCAAGTTTGGAGAGAGTGGGACCCCCTTCCGCCCAATCAAATTCCCACATGCTTTTCGCTGACTTTTCGCCAAACGCGGTCTTATGCTTTTTGTGGGCCCCTCCTTTGTCCACTTGTCTTTTGTTTATTCCTTCCAATCTCATAGCCTTACAATAATGTTAAAAGAAAGTCAATTTCTGGGTTTAAACGACAATATTTGGCATTGAAAATATATATTTTTATGGTCAAGAATATAATTCATTATTCCTTTGCATTAAATAAAAAAATGTAAAGAAATCAATGCAAATCATTAATCATGCCTAAAATGATTAATTTGAGTTAAATTTATGTCCTAATTGTATATCCTTGTACGAGTATATAAGCATCCCTACTTGACTAGTCCAAATCGAGTTACATGGGATGAAGTTTAGCTTTGTTATACAAATTATTGTTAATAATTCATTTTTTTCGTTAATATTTTAAATTAAATATCAATAATTATATAAAATACTCTAATTAATACTTACTTTTAAAAAATTATAAATGATAAATCTTGTTAATTAATTAAGTATTTTATTTGAAGGATTGTATTTTTCCAGGATGAAAACAATTAGTTTTATTGAAAATTAAAAAACATTCAAATTACAATGAAAATTTATGATAACAATTGTAATTTTTATTTTATTAAGCTAAAGTTGATTGCAAAGTAGTATCTGTTTTAAGTACTTTCGATTATTTTACAATGAACGTTCAATCACCCTTGCAGTCGTTGTTGCTCAAACCTGTAAACTTTAGGAACAACAACGATTCTTTTAACTACTGAGGTAAGTGAGTTTGTGCTCGTAAATTAAAACACATATTAAGAATATTTTCACAAGATCATTGACACAATAAACTAACCACTTAAGATCACACAAGGACCATATAAGAAAAATGTTAAAAAACTAATCAAATAATCTCGAATAAAAGGTAGATACAAACATATCTGATTGTACCGGTAAACAAATCACAAAATGAGATAAAGTTATTGAAAAACCACTGACAAAACAAAAACATAATCGAGCGTCACGAATACAAATCGTGTATCTAAATTCAATTCAAGCGTCTAAAGCTTGGAAAATCAGAATGATAACAAATGAGTATCATCTTGATCAATCATTGTGATGTCAAATCTAACCCTGATAAAAAAATAAATGAAAATAACGGCCAAACGACCGAAAATATATAAAAAAAACAGAAGAAACTTTCCATAAAAGTAGAGTTATTAAAAATAAAAAAATATGACATGATAAAATAAAGAAGAAAACAATGAATACTGGCGATGGACACTAAGATTAATGCCATTACTTGCAAAGATGAATAAAAAAAACTAACCACGAACATAAGAAAAAAATAGGGTTAAAAATCATAATTATACTCTATTTGATTTTGAAGGATTGTTTTAATTTGTTTTTAACATTTTTTTTAAATATAGTGGGCACCCAAATGGGCCATGATATTATGAGCTTTTTAATGGTTACCGCAAGAAGTGGCCAGAGTGTGGATAAGTATGTCAAGGGTAAAAAAAAGGTTTGTAATGGATAACCTTGGATTATATTTTCTTTATTTTTCATAAACAAAATTATCAGTAATAATTAGATAATGGTACGCCCACAAAAATAAATAAAAAGAAAAGGTTATATAAAAACAAAATTGAAAAATAAATGGCAAATTCCTATAATATTTTTGAAAATAATTGTTTCAAATGAAATAAATTGATTGATTTAATTGATTAAATGACTTTTAGTATTTTGAAAAAATAATAAACATCACAAAATTAATTTTATACAGTGACATCAATTAGATTAAGTTGTTTCTCAATTAAATTAGTATTAATTAATTAATAATATCAATTTAGGCAGATCATAATTACTAATATAGATGCATAGATTAAAAAAATGTTTATTATTTTTGTCACATGAATCAATAATTTATTTATTTATTTATTAATTAATCATGCACAATAAGCAATGAAACAAAGATATAGTAAATGAAGTGGAACTAATTAACTTATTGGTAAAATTAAAATTATAGAAACCAAAATCCATTTTTAGGGCATCTGCCATCGTTAGTTGGTGGAGCCTAAGAAACAAAGTAAAGGATAACAGCACCAACTTTGTGTTCATCCAAATAGTTTTAAAAAATGTAAATAAATAAACATAATTTGTTTGTTTAAGATCTGACCTAAAGCTTTCACTATTATGTAAAAATTAAATCTTTCACATTATATTTATATATTATGGTTAAATTTAAATTTAAATAAAAATAAGTATCTTAAATTTAACCCAAATATTAAACCAAACCCAATCTATATATTCACTCACTCCATTACAATCATTCTAAATAGAACACCATCCATGACATCAACTTCCACGTGGCATCATCATGGCCATTGAAAGGCCTTCCAAAACCAAATATTATCTTCCCAGACTACCAATTTTCGGCCTTCTTTCACAACATGTTCACATATTCTCCCTCCCACTTCATTTGCAATTCCTCTAACAAACACACTGCAAACAAAAGAGATTTTGAGAGAAAGAAACAAAGAAGATTAAGGTTGGGTTCTCTCAGAGTTTTTCACGTAAAAACTTGTATTTAATAGTCATTATGGAGCATGAACAGCATCACACGATTAATTTCGAAGAGACGGAGTTACGTTTAGGGTTGCCGGGAGGCAAGGGAAGTGACGGTGAAATGACCAACACTAACGGCAAACGAGGGTTTTCGGAGACGGTTAATCTGAACCTTAATCTATCAACAGAGGAGGCCGAAGCCGAATCCGAATCCGAGGAGTCCGAGAAGATGAAGGAGAAGAGCTCTATTGCTCCTCGCTCGACTGACCCTGCAAAGCCTCCTGGAAAGTAAGCTACGATCCATTAATTTTTTTCTTTATTTTTCAATGATATAGCTAGAGGTTCATTGCATGAGTTTATATTTTCTGGGAAATTAATATATTGTTTATTATAGTTTTTTAATAAATAAATAAATATTGTTGAACTTGAACATCAATTTGAACTTGAAGAGGATGAGTCTTCATTGGATCTTGGCCTTGTAAAGTAGAAAAAGAAAAGGTTTTAATTTTAATATTTGATAGCTTGGGTTGTTTGTCAGGAAAAAGAGGGAAAACAACAGAACATGTGGAATCTTTTAGTGCTTTTCCCACCAACCAAACAATAATTCGAAAGGTTTTCAACAGGAAAGTGGCTAAGAAAGTCACATTTTCAACAATTTTATGTTAATTTGCTTCAATAATTAAGGGAATATTATATTAACTCTTTCAGGGCACAAGTGGTGGGATGGCCACCAGTCAGGTCCTTCCGGAAGAACATCATGGCCGTCCAAAAAGCCAGTTCCGAGGAGGAGAGTGACGGCAAGAAGGCCGGCAACAGTATAGCCTCCGCGTTTGTTAAGGTCAGCATGGATGGTGCACCTTATCTACGCAAGGTGGACCTCAAACTTTACAAGAATTACCAACATCTCTCTGATGCCTTAAGCAAAATGTTCATCTCCTTCACCATTGGTAAATGACATAAACACAAAGTTCAATTTCGGTTAAGGACCAATATTTGATGTATTAACTGTGTATAATATTAGTTATCTGTTACGAAATCGAATTTTATCTATTAATGAAAAATTAAATTTTATTTTGTGTTAATGATTTAGATAACTACGAGTCACAAGGAATGAAAGATTTCATGAACGAGAACAAATTGATAGATCTTTTGAATGGTTCTAAGTATGTTCCTACCTATGAAGACAAAGATGGAGATTGGATGCTTGTTGGAGATGTCCCATGGGAGTAAGTTAATTTGTCAACTTTAATTTTTAATTTAATATTCACTTGATTATTTACTATTAATTTATTTTTAAAAATTCATAGGATGTTCGTTGATTCTTGCAAACGCTTACGAATAATGAAAGGATCTGAGGCGATAGGACTTGGTTAGTTTGATTTTTTAAATTTCAAGCACAATAATTATAGTAATATTATCCAAATTAAACTGAAAAAAATAGAATCAAATTTTCGATTTATGAACCTACTCGAATACTCCTACTTTCTTGATTTAGAGAGATGAAATTTATATGTAAAGAAGTTTATTTGCTATTTATGCAGCACCAAGAGCAATAGAGAAGTGCAAGAACAGATGCTGAAATTGGTTCAAAAACAACAATCTCAATCCAAATCAAGCCTATGCGAAGATCAAAATCAGACCATCTGTCAACCCGGTTTAATCGTGATCGAGCAAGAAGAAAAAAATAATAATAAAAAAGGAATATTATGAGGAATGTATTTTTGAGAAATAATAGAAAAGTTTATTTTCAATGGTTTGTTTAATAACATCTTTTATTAATGTTTTTGGTTGTCTGAGTGATTTTTCTTTCTTTTTTGCACTCCATTTTCTAGTATTTTGCATGCATCTTTTTTATTGTCGTGTATGAAAAGATTCTCTGGAATTAATATATTTATTATTATTATTATTATTTTAATGAATTTTATAATATAATTGGTTGAGGAAACAGATAAACAAGATCCATGAACAAGGTGATAAGGTGGAGCGAAGGCCATGTGCAATTTTTTGGGAATCATTTTTTAAAATTCATTTTCAATGCTGGTATTGTATATTTTTATTGCAATTTGCAGACAAATGTGTGAACCATAGAATTTTAATAATAAAAATTATTTTCTTTTACAATATAAATTAAGAACATAATTACTTTTAAATCAAAATATAATTGCATTTTTATCATTAATAATTTGGTTTTTTGGTCAATGCCTTTGAGATAAATTCAATGAACCGTAATTAGCGTGGCATTTGATGTCTAAATGAGTTGAAGCAGCTCAACCCAAAGTCTAATTTATTCTCTTTTTTAATTAAAATTATTTGGTTTTTATTATCTGGAATTGAGGATTTGGTTGGGGGAAAAGGCATCACTTTGAGATCTCTCCCAGCATGAAACGTGGGATTTGTCAAATTTGTTTCTCTCTCTTTTTTTTCAATTTACTTGGAAATTAATATCTCAGGGTATGATCTGGTTCTAATTAAGCAGCATATATCAAGTTATGATCTGGTTAAACAACCTAATTTAACTATTAAGTAGGTTAAACAATCTAATTTAAGGATTATACATATATAGTTATAAAAAAATCAATAAATAAAAATATAATTGGAACACATGTAGCAATTCACACTATATCAATTGATGTTATAATTAATATACTTTTAGTTAATTAACTATTTCTATCTAAATAAGAATTAAAATGACTAACCCCAAGATAGTATAATCTGAACACTGATGAAACGTATACATTACCGATCGAGGGGCTAACAACATGCAGTGGTGTAATACGGGGTGAGAATGGAGAGTGGCTTGGAGGGTTCTCGAAAGTTATAGGGATTAGCTGTGTCTTTGATGCAGAACTTTTTTGGGGGGGTGGTCTTCGAATGGTTGAATTTAGCATGGAATATGGACATGGGAGCAGTGATGGTTGAAGTGGATAATGGGGAAGAGTGGAACCTGCTAGAACAAGGTATGGAGATGGGGGTTATCTTTTCCTTTGTATCGCACATAGTGGAAGTCATAAAGAGAGATTGGAGATTGCAGTTTCAACATACCCTTCGTAAGGATAACAAAGTGGCCGACGGATTAACAAAGTGAGCTTGGAACCTCCCACCTGATTCCCATATATTTCATTCCCCACCGGGTGAAGTAAACGATATGGTTCAAGAAGAAAGCCTAGCTCATGTTACTACTGCTTTAGTTTAGTTTCTTTTATCATTTCCGGTAAAAGAAATGACTAAAATCAAAATATTGAACGTTAAAGTGATTAAAAAATTATAAAATCAAAGTTTAAGGATGAATTTTAGTATTATGCCAAAATTAATTGGATAAAACATGGGAGGCCCGCGTAATCAAACCATTTTAAGACCACTTGCTTTTATCTTTAGACGGGGGGAAATCAAGGTCAAATGTAGCAAGGTTGTAGTCTTACTATCATTATTCGTAATTTTAGCCCTCATTGTTTTTATATTTATCGCAATTAACGTCTCATTGCATTTACTTTGTATATAGTTTTAAGGTTATTTTTTAAATTAATTTTTAAATAAAAAATAAATGAATAAAATTGGTCTTAAATCACATTATATTTTTTATACCAACCCGTGTCGCACACCTAATTTTAGTGGGTTAGTCTTTCGATAGAGATTTTATACATATAAAAAACTTCAAATTCGTGATATGCTTAAAGGATATTAAATTGATTACCACTTGAACTAACAATGTTGGTAGTCGTAAATAACATTCAACTTGAACCCATTTCGTACAAAATTGGAACGTATATAAAAACACATGAACAAAAATCCTGTCTTTCTTTGTTTCTCATCAGCAATCTTTTTACATGTGCCCTTTTCATTTGAATGAAAACACCTTTCAAAAAGAAGCATTTTTCTCTTTGTTTCACTTTCCACAATTCACACATACTGTAACTCTTAAAGACATTGCACATATGTTCTCTAACTTTGAACTCATCATTCTCTAAATTCAGAAGTAAACTCTCATCTACACCAAACTGCTAATTCCTCAACTGAATCAAACCTACATGAACACAACACCAACTATTTGTCATTGGCGTCTCAAATTTCAACGCAAGTGATCTTCTATAAGTTAAAGAACACATTGTGGCTGACCTTTCTCTGTATTCTTGCACTTAATTACTGTAAACATCGTCTAGATAAGAGTTTGTTTTTGAACTTAAAGAATGATGGGTTATAGTAGATATGAACTGTGGAACAACAGTAAAAGGTGAAGTAAATAAGAAAGTAGTTCTTTTTGGAAGGTTATTGTGAAAATAAAAAAGATATGTGTAAAAAAGATTAGTGGTGAAACACAAAGAAGAAGGGACATAGGATTCTTGTTTGAAACAAATATTTTTTCTTTTTAAACCTCTCAGCAACATGACTGCTTTACAAAACATGCCACAGCTTGCGCCCAATGTCTTAGCTTCGTCTTCACTTGCTGAGGATTATCTCCTGGAAAATATATACAGAAGATGTTATGATTACTTATTTTGCTGTTTAGGGTTTATTTATTATTTGTAATTTTGAATTACCCGGGCTGTAAATTTTCCAATCTGGTTCGTTTTTGGGGCTCTCTAGATACGGTGATCTGCAACTAACTGATGGTGATGGTAATGGTGTTGATGAATAACTCTGGCTTTGAGGGGATGGAAGTGGAGAAAGCTGACGGTTTACAGCAAAATAAAGGTCTAAAGCAGGCAATGTGTTGCATAGTTTTTGATCTTCTTCTTCGTTGAATCCAAATCCTAATTCTATGCACCCTTTTAGCTCGTTCAAATCTTCATCTGTCAATCCATTCTCGTTCGCGATGACCCCTTTCTTTCTTCTCTCCTGACGAAGAATCTGTCGCCGCCTTCTCTCCCAAGCAACGTCCCTAAAACGTGAACGTATCGATTTCAGACACATGAAATCATAAGATTAAGCAACAAGCTTTCTACAACCAAAGAAATACGAAAAACACCAACCTTGAGGTCTCTAACATCGACACTTGCTTTTGTAGAAGTTTCTTGTCTATCATCAACGGCGGTGGCCTTAGTTTCGATGCATTACGTTTCGAAACTTCTATTTCGGAGTCATGGAATGACGAAGATTTAACGACCTTCTTTGTCGCCGCCTCCGATCTGTCGTCCTTCATTCTCTTCTTTTCCGCAAATGCTATGATTAAAAATAAAACATAAGGATTTTGTTATCTAAATCATAGAAGACATAGAAAAATAAACTTTTATTTTCATCATTTTATTTTGATTGAAATCAAAATAAAATACAAAAGAAAAGTTTATTATAGCCGCCACAGCAGAATGAAGCTGACGCGGCTTATCGACGATGAAAAGGTGAAGGATGATGGATGGACGTAGAGAGCAGCGTTGAAATTATGTATATATTGTAAAGAAACATCAAAAGAAAATGAGGTGGAGATGCTTTAATGGAGAAAGAAAAGGGTTGACATTCATTAGAGGAATTTGCTTTTGTTATTCAACCATCCAAATGTAACTGTCTATATTTTTCTTAGGTCAATGTTAATTTTGTAGTGGGACGGCTTAGCTAAATTCTTGTGATGATAAGATTCTATTGCTAAAAACAAATCTTCGATGACATCAATGGTAATAAATATTCATAGGTCTATGTATGCATGTTGTTCAATATTTTTAACTGAATTTGTAGTGTGTGTATACAATACCCAAAGAAATTCTAAACAAATATTACATTATAATTATTATTGACTATTAAAAAATTATCGTGAACATTATTAATATTTTATTTTAATATTATTTTCATCATTGAACATCCCCTTTGGAGCCTTGACAGCTTCACAAATTACGACCAAACAAAAGGCAACCATAAATACACTCTAAGCTTCCCGAGTTGTCTATTTAATTATCTAAATCGGTAAGACTGAAAGTTAAGATTTGTTCTATGAAATTGTTAGTTTTTCACATCTTTTGATATAAAGATCATAAGCAAATTAAGGCAGATAATTATTTTTTTTCATTTTTAAAGAATATATTTATTTTTTATATATAACCATCAATATTTTATCTCTCGATCAATTAATCAAAATCGAATATTATTATCAAAACCTATTATGGGAGTAATTATTTCAACTCAATTTTTTTCAATGAATGAAACCTCTGTATCGCAATACCAAAAGTCAACAGTTACAAACAACTACAAAGGCCATTAGAGGGAGTTCTTCAGACTCTAGCCTATACAAATCTCTCTGTTAACATTAACATTTTCCCCTAATTAACGCCTTACCCCTTAACTTGTACTGAACCAATATATCTGAGACAGGGCTCTCCAAAATAGCCTGTAATTCCTCTCCTTCCATATCAGGGAAATGAACTCATTCCAAGCCAACTAGCAACGATCTCCTCCTCCAACCACACACAGCATGCCCAGTACACCAGCTTCGAGGTCTAATATATCACCCTTCGATTTAGATGGAAATGGCATAACCGCAGAATGTTCCCCCATACCTGCTTAGAGAATTAATAATGGAAGAAAACATGATCACAAGTCCTCAACTCATTACCGCAAAGGACACAAAGACCTTCTACTTGCATCCCAAACTCCAACAACCTACTCTTTGTGGGAAGCCTGACAAGCACAACCATCCAAACGGTAACATAGTTACGAGGAATGTGACCGGAATGCCACACGAACCTCTTCCAAACAACCTTTTTCTTCTAGGCCTAATCTCCTCTCAAATATGGGCATCCGAGCGAGTCCCCAAGCAACCCCGACGTAGCCCGACCCTAGCTCGCAATAAGTTACTCCAAGTCCAGCTGCAACTCTGAGATATCCCAACATACCAAAAGGAACAATCCTTAAGCACATGCAAGTGAATCCAACCAATCCAAATGGAGTTCTCCTTCATCAACATCCTCCTAATCAACAATAGAAGGCAAGCATGGTTCCAACTAAGAAGATTCTTAAGCCCAAAATCACCTTCCGACTTCAAACAACAAATAGTTTTCTAGCTAACTCTTGTGCCTATAGCGAGCTTATCTTCACCTTTCCATAAAAATCGAGAACACAGTTGATTAATTTATTTAATAATTTTCTTAGCAAACTAAGTTGTCTAGCCCAATAATTTTACACACTAAAAATGACAGATTAAATGAGTTGTATTCTTATCTTTATTTAAAAAATATAATATTTCATTCTGCTAAAGCAATTAATAATTGGTACATTGAATATCTTTATTCAACATATTTAAAAATAAATATGAATTATAATATTATAATATATATTTATAACAAACATTAATTTTAAATTCATATATTATGAATATTTTCATCTCAACCTCAAACTAAATACCTCAGCAACCCTTTTCAACACTCCCGGATAGGACTGTAAATGAGACGAGACAGATCGCGAGCTACTCGAGATCAACTCGATCTTGGCTCGATAAATACTCGGATCGAATGGACTTGACTCGAGCTCGAACTCGACTCAATTTCTTAACGAGCCGAAACGAGCTACTCGATATTCGACTCGAAAAGCTCGTGAGCAGCTCGAAAAAATATTATATTATAATTTTATATTTTTTAAAATTACATTATTAAAAATATATTAAAAATACATTATTGATGAATAAATATTCTTGAATTGAAAATGGTTAAAAATTATTTTTGAATAAATATTCTTATATTTATTTTAAATTGATAAAAAAATTATTTATCTAATGACAAATATTTAATATATTTCTAATGATAATATTTGTAATAACTAATTTTTTAAATTGTTGTTATATTTTGAGGTTTTGGGTTCAAATATCATAAATATCAAGGGTTTGAGCATTTAATATCAAGATACTATATTGTACTTACCTCATAACTAATTATGTGATAAGGTTTAGGGTTTAGGATTTAGAGTTTATGTGATAGGATTTAAGGTTTAAAGTTTAGAGTTTAGGGTTTATGTGTTAGGGTTTAGGGTTTATGTGCTAGGGTTTAAGTTATACCATGAAGGTAACATACAAATTATGCAAAATGATGTTATGTGGCTCATAAATAAATTATTCACATACTTATACATAAACATATCAACATGCAAAATAAATATACACAACTAATTAAAGAAAACAATCCTAAACAGAGACTAAATTAAGAAAAATCTAAATGTGAGGACTAATTTAAGCTAAAATTTAAACAATTGAGGGACTGTTTTGTACAAAACGCATAAATCTTGAGAGCCTAAAGCTAATTTACCCCTAAGGTTATGGTGGCTAAACGATAATTAACCCCAAAATTAATTAGGGTTTAGAACCTAAATTAAAACAAACCTAAACTAAATATTCATTTCAGCCGCTCAAGCCTCACGCCCTAACCTTCTCCAACTCTCCCCCTCTCATTCTCATGCAAACCAGAAAACAGTGTCGCAGGCCCGCAGCTGCCGCTCCTCTCGCCTTTCTTCAACGGAGTTCTACACTTCAACTTCTATCTTTTTTCCTCGCTCAACCCTAACAAAGACCCACAGCCTCTGTGGCTTCAGTCGCCTAGTGCTCCGATGTGGAGCTTAAACTTCTCCTAAACATATTTCGGTGACAACCTTCATAAAAAACATCCCCAAAACCATAAACTTAAACCCATAATAACCTCGTAAATACCCAGCTTCACCACTCCGTAACCATGCCAGACCACGGCCACCGCGGCCTTCGCCGTCCCCACGGGCTCCGATGAAGAGTCCTAACACCTGGACCACTCTTTCCTCGCTGGCCTAGGCAAGAAACCCAAACTTTACTGCACATTAATGTATGCTCTAGATATGATATGTTCTCCTCAGTACACGATCTATGCCCTTCGAAAATCTTGGTGAACTTTTTTTTCATTCTTGTGTATCTTTTACCTGTATATCTGAAAACTTAAAAGAGAAAATCTTTCGCATGTGACAACATTTAGGTTTTTCAAAGTGGAGATCTCGCTGCTGCTGAAGTTGTGTTGTCGAACATGGCTGTTGCACTTGACCGTGTGCTTTTGGATGTAGAGGTAATTGTTCTAAAATGCTCTTTCAAGATGAATCTACAGTTTGTAACTTTTATGAACTTCCTTTTTTAGATACTGCATTTCGATTATAAGTTTTTATGAACTTCTACATGAAATATGACGGTAGCTTTTCAAGATCCTTTTGTATTTCAACCTTACCACAAAGCTTTGTGGGAGCCATTTGACTACTACAAGTTTGGTCAAAATTATATTCGACCTTTGATTGATTTCAGGTGAGTGGACAAATACCACACTGTCTTATTATAGTGGTTTCTTTAGTTATGTTGATTTAGGTTGCAGAAAACTCCGCTGATAATTGAATATGATTTTGTCAAGAAATATATGGTTGTTCAATTTCATAACTCTATTAAGGTGAACCAATACATTAGATTTTCACGTTAGTGATTAGGACATATGTGAATGTCACAAGTAAGGTTATATAAATTTTTGATTAATTATATCTTTGAATACAATCTAAGGTTGAAATTTTCAAAATTTTCACTCCCCTTCTTCTTCCCAGAAACATATTATTTTACATGTCTCATAGATACAATTTAATTCTTATCAACTGCTGCATAAGCTGTTAATTGTCATTCCTAGTATTGGTTTTGGTGTTTGGTTCTCTGTCCCTTGTTTTTTGCTTGGTGCTCTGTCCCTTGTTTTGTGTGTCTGCAGGGCATGGATTCGAGCATGGCCAGCATGGGCGACGACAGCATTGGTTTCGGTGGATGGCAGACCAACATGGGTCTTCCTTGGTGGGTTCACGTGGGTGGTGCACTATCTCGGGCTTCCTCGTCGATTTGCACCACATGTTAATATAATAAACATGAGTAATAATAATACTAATAATTATTATAAAAAAACTTCAAAACTTATATTAATTATCCTAAATTTCTTGTAATTGTATTTTTTATTTTTTAGATTTTTTATAGTTCATACATTCATATTATAATGTATTGGTAATGGTTGATTAAAGGGAAAATTATTTATATATTTTAAATGTAATATAATATTTTTATAGGATCAAATTCGAGTTTGAGTTCGAGCTTTAATCGAGTTCGAGCTTGAATCGAGCTTGAATCGAGCTCAAAATCGAGCTTGAATCGAGCTCGAGTCTCGAGCTTCAATCGAGCTCTTGAATTTTTTTTGAGTTCGAGCCTTTTCGAGTTCGAGTCGAGCTTGAAAATTTTAGGCTCGCGAGTTTTCGAGTCGAGTCGAGCCTACATTTAAAGTTTTCGAGTTCGAGTCGAGCTCGGCAATACTCGAGGTCGACTCGGCTCGTTTACACCCCTACTCCCGGATCCGCAACTTATACAAACTCCAAATCACAACCGTTTATAATTTTCCCATCGAACCGCCAATATTGAATTACCAACACCTATCGATCCGCGTCATTTCATTTTCAACTAATAACCTTTCACAATTTCCCTTATGAAATCTACATATCGCAACTGTTTTTTAATAAATAAAAATAATAATAAACAGCTTCCGGATTTACTAGTATTAGTAAGCTCGTCGAATTGAGTCATGGCTTCCGCCGTTGCTTCCGTCGCGAAGAAGAAAGCTGCTGGCTCTAAGAAGTCGAAATCAGCTTCTTCCCATCCTCCGTTTCTTGAGGTGAATCTCGGTCTCACTAGAAACCTTTGGTTCCTCTCTCTTGATATTATTATCGATTTTTAATTCAGTTTTTGATTGATATTTACTAAGCCTGTAAATGAACTGAACGTTCAGCGAACCGTGCGATGGAAAGTTCGTTTATTTATTAAATGAACGAAAATGAACAAGATTTTGCGTTCGTTTAATTAAATGAACGAACACGAACAAAGGGCTCGTTCGTTCATTTACGTTCGTCAACGTTCGATTATATGTTTATTTATATTCGTTCATTTATGTTCATTTATGTTCGAACATATGGCAAGTTGAATATGTTACGCAGATTATTGAAGTTGTTTGAATTTCAAGAAGATTGTTTTGTTGAACAAATTAATTTTAAGAATTTATTATGTTCATATAGCTTATTTATGATTTATGTGTGTTTTTGTCGTATTCGAACAAATTAACTCTAAAGTTGCAGGTTATATTAATGAATTTTAAGTTGTTATTTGTAACCCCTCAGACCGATACGGGTAACCCGACCCGATCTGGAGTGTCACATTAGGGTCACCGGAGCGACCCACTGTAAAAATAATGTAAAATTTAAAACTTTTTTATCAAAACGTAAACTTATAAAATCATTTATCAATATTCAGAAATAAAATAGATTTTCAGACTCGTATACAAAACAAAATACAATTATATGCCCCCTAATTACATGTACCATACTCTGCAAACAACGTCAGAAGAATTCCTTTACTGATGTCGATAAATGCACTGATTTAATCCTTTTAACCTGCAATGGTGAGTAATAGAGTGAGCTTCGGAAAGCTCAGTAATACATAACTACCAAATGATGCTGAAGATCATGCAGATACAAATAAACATATATTTCCTTGTCGGTTCAGACATCTACAAATCTTTATGCTGAGCGAAGATGCTATGTATATTTCAGGGTAGCGGACAATGAGTTTTCATTTAAGAGAAATATTACGGATTACTGAGTTCAGGAGATCAGAATAGGTTATCTAGTGTGTTCCCTCAAAACTAGTAAAAAGATATTGATCTTTTAAAACATTTTTTTATTCAAAAACCATAGTAATTTCCCCATCCGTCACGAACAAAATGTGTAGGTTCTCCATAACCATACAACCCCATGACGAACAGTAAGGCTCTGAGCACAAAGCCAAGGAACCTGCAAGTAATCAACCCCGTCACGAGTAGTAAGGCTCTCAGCACAAAGCCGAGGAACCTACAAGTATTCAACCCCGTCACGAACAGTAAGGCTCTCAGCACAATGCCGAGGAACCTCCAAGTATTCTTCCCCGTCACGAACAGTAAGGCTCTCAGCACAAAGCCGAGGAACCTGCAAGCATTCTTCCCCGTCACGAACAATAAGGCTCTCAGCACAAAGCTGAGGAACCTGTAAGTATTCTTCCTCCAACTATACCCCCAATAAAACATGTTCCGTCCATAAACGGATATATCAAAAATCAAATCATAGTTCAGGTCAAGTATCAGATCAGAATCCATGTCAGGTATCATAACAAAATTCAAATAATAAATCATATAAAATATTCATGTGATTAGGGAACACACCAGAGTTTACAGATATTATTCAGAGGTACTGGATAATCTTAGTAGGCAGAGAAATACGGATCTTCAGTATACCGATATAATATCGGAATTTAGAATCATTATTGGAAGAGTTCAATAACTGACAAAATTATCAATTATTCAGAATGAGACTTGAGTTGATAAGAAAGAAATGATGATTTAGGACATTTACAGTCTATGTCGATTGATTTCATTATCAAACAACTTCAGATGAATATCTCCCAGAATTAATGCTTATCGACTGGTCAATTCATTGTCCTTACAGGGTATTTACACTTTAATACCACAAATTCTAGTCCATATATAAATCTTCAGAATCATCGCTGAATAAATCTTCCAATGTCTTTATTTCATGTTCACGCTTCCACTATATCATGAAATGCCGGCGTGCTTGTTTTGTAGTTCAAGATCCATAAGAACATTGTATGTTCACTTACATTTCCAGACTCATCCAAATCACTTACTTAATCCTTAGTTCTGGAGGTTACTTAGTTTATTTAGCATTCAAGTCCATTCCAGTTACTTCGGGATTTTCTAGAGTAATTCAAACGTTCCTGAATTTTAGATACATGTACTTCTGTTTCATTCAATTTGGTCTTCGTGGTTGATTTGTCGAACAAACGTCCAATTCTTAGTATTGAATGCGATTTAGAGTTGAGTTGAGCTGAGCTGAGCTGAGTACTTTCAAAATTATCATCGAACCACAATTGAGAAGATGAACACACATTCAACTGATACCTATGTCGTTCAGGTATTGACATATCATTAAACTTGTTAAATATTTTTAACAAATATATAATAAGGGCAATTTGGTCAAATATGCATTCCTATAATCTTTTATTCCTTTAACCAAACACGGTAATCTTACATTCCTGCTAAGCCAACCAAACACAAAATACAACATTCCCAGTAATCCTATTCCCTGGTAATCTTATATTCCATTGGTAATCTTATATTCCCACTGATAATCTTACATTCCCACTGATAATCTTACATTCCCACTGGTAATCTTACATTCCCACTGGTAATCTTACATTCCCACTGGTAATCTTACATTCCCAATATTTTTAAACTTGTTAAAAAAACAAATATATAATAAGGGCAATTTGGTCAAATATGCATTCCTATAATCTTTTATTCCTTTAACCAAACACGGTAATCTTACATTCCTGCTAAGCCAACCAAACACAAAATACAACATTCCCAGTAATCCTATTCCCTGGTAATCTTATATTCCATTGGTAATCTTTTATTCCCACTGGTAATCTTACATTCCCACTGGTAATCTTACATTCCGTGAACTAAACGCATCTTTAAGGTTTATAAGGCGGTGTTTTAATTTCCTACTGAGAATGAACGTTTTGTACAAAGTCTTAATTATAAAAATTTTATATTTGGTATATAAAAATCTTTTAATTTTGTACTAGATTTTCTTCATTATATATATATATTTGTAATTATAATATATTTGTTACAATACTTTTGATTATATTTGCGTCTAATGAGGACTTAATTACTAACTAAATCCATTTGATTTTTATAGGAGAGTTGAAATTTGATGGAATTTTGAGCATAACGTTTTTTAACCCTTTTATTTTAATATGTATGAAATTTAGAATTTTTTTATAATTATAAAGAGGATATAATTGTTAAATTATTTTATTTTTTTGAAAAAAAATATGAACTGAAAAGTTTAATAAAATTATACTATATTTCACTTCAAGTAAAATTATATATTAATCTTGAGATGAGCTTATTTAATTATTTTAATTTTAATTTAGTTATCATTATTTAAAAATCAATAAAAATAATAAATTACAATATAAAAACAACTGAATGAAAGAAAAAACGTATTCATCTCAAAATTAATATATATATATATATATATATAATTAAATTCAAAATATATAAATGCAAGAATAATAAGTTTTATTTAAAATGAGTAAATAAAAGAGTTTTTCCTAAAATTTCGAATAAGTAAATTAGTATATCCTCTTAAATTTTCTGAAAATTTATCACTAAATCCCTTGAGTTTCCCGTGAATATATTAACTATGAAAGAGAAACTTTTTTCCAAGGGATTTAGTGATAATGTTTCAAGCACAGAATAAGTAAACTTTTTATCAAACAGCAAGACTATTTCCTAAAATTTTCATTATAATCATATTTAAATCGTCCCTTTTCTTATTACTGCATTGCAAAACAAAACCCTTTCTTTGTTTGCTTATATTTTAAGGAATCCAATAATTAGTTAAAAATATACATTTTTAATCATAATTATACACATTTATATAAATTTAATATTAAACAATTTACCACGTTCATGTATTTTATAATTTTTCAAGCCATAATTCGAAATATGTCTCATAATATATATATAAAGCTACTCAACAATACAAACTTACAAAACATATACAATTCACATCAACGCAAGCCATTGTAAAAATAAGTTGTCTGCTAAAAATGAAACAAGCTAATTACTATTCAGTTTCAGAACATCCATATGCCAGGGCAGTGAAGGAATTCAAGTCTATTTCCCAGCTTAATAGTTAGTATTTAGTACCCCCAAAAAAAAACTAGATGTTCATGATTCAACCGTGATGTTAGCATTACTCGCCTCGGCGATTTTAGCAGGGGCAGCTTTTGTCGCCTCTTTTACCTGTTTTGCTCGATCTTTAGCCTTCCCAGCTACATTACTGGTCTGTCCACCAACCCGGCCTTTACTTTTTAACTCATTTGCAGTAGTGGATCGCTCGTTGTGGTTACCTAAACTGTGACGGTGAGTCCGGCAGCAAGCTTTTGCTTTTTCGTCCTGAGCTGAGCGGACTGCATCACCACAGCTCTTTCTCCGGGTTAGATTTGGTGACTTTGGCCGAGTCAATGGCAGCTGAAATGAAATAAAAGCAAGAATGAAATGTCCCATTATCCACCAAAACTGAATGAAACATGTCATGCATATGTTTGAACATCCAACTTCGAGGACTCGAGAAAAACAGGGAGAAAAGATTGACCGGGAATACCTTCTTCGGTTCAACCTTTCGTGGAGGTCCTTCATAGTAGAAATCAGGAATTGGATTTGCTTTGACAACCATGCTCTTTCTAAGCTGTTTAAGAGCTGCTTCTTGCTCTTCCTGCACGAAAGCAAGGGGGGCCATTTTTGTTAACTCTAACCGAGTTGTGCATAAGGAAGAGATATTCTGAATGTCACGTACCTTGGTCCGGGCCTCGCATTGGTTTCTCTCCGCCTCCAAAGCTCGGTGTTTTTCCTCCAATTTTTGGTAAAACTGGATTGCAAAAAGAGCATTATAATTTGGATAGCTTGGAAAATGAAATACGGAAAAACCAGCAACTGAAAGAGTATCAAAAAGAGTATTGACTAAGAATGTACCTCCCTCCGTTTCTCAGCACGTTCAGCACTTCTAAAAGATGGAGCAGATCCAATAGTTACCCTTGACCTAGCAGTTCGAACAGAAGCAGCTGTACTAGATACAGCTAAGGAAGAAATATGGTAATAGTGTTCGGGTAGGGAAGTCCCTTGATAAAATAATATTAAAAAAACTGCTACCAACAAGCCGATAGTACCATGTCATAACATCAAAGAAAAGGATATGAGGAAGTGACGGACCAATTATCTTCTTCATCAGGAATCTTCCTACCATATGGTTGCAATGGCTTCCTGGACATTGGAGGGGTCATCGGAGAGTATGGCTGAAAAAATGGCAAAATAAAAAAGATTAGCCCCTTGCATATTTCAGCAAATAAGTAGCATCAATGATCTGAAACCAAGCAATTACACTGATTTAGATAAACGAAGGAAAACCGGCCATGGTGAAGGCATTAAAAGAAAATCATTGACAGAATCGTTCCAACATGCATATCAAAATGATAGTAAACCACAGATAAAAATTTCATCTTGAAAGAAAATTCAACATTATCATTAGATTTCCTATTGGAAAATTCACTATTGCCATATTTGGAAATCTCCAACTGCACATGATGAACAAGTGCTTATCACTTTCTTACAGATCAGACCTTTTATGTAGAAAATTGCCAACCCAAATGTCAAAAACCAAACTAAATATCAAATAAAGTGGATCACAAAATTTCACTCTTACTAAAGAATTGGAGTTACCTCTGAACCCTTCGTAGAAGTGGGGGAGAGTGTAGAGTGGACATTTGCGGTGCCATTTGAACCAATAGATCTCGATGCAGTCGTTCCAAACTTGTTGTCTGTGGACTTGTGATCTTCAGCCTTTTCATTTTTCTCTTCAGGGATGTCAGTACCAAAATTAGTTCTTTTAACACCCAGCAGTTCTTGCTTCTCATGATCATTCTCGACGACTGAGTTTTTAGCTGTGCATTCCTTGACCTCATAGCCATTTGACTCCATGCCTTTTGAAACTCTCGGATTACAATTTGATTTCACCACGCCATTTGACTTATTGTCCATGTCAGCATCTGCGAGTTCCCTCCCCATGACACTGCATTAGAAACAAGTTGATCATCATAACCATATGAAACCAGAAATTCTTTGACTCAGAAAAGGCAAACTTCATTCATTTACCAAAAGATAGGAAGAAACTACAGGTAAACAGAGGAAAGAGAAAAGGTAATAGACAATTCATTTTCATATTATGTCGACATTGCATACAATGTTTCATGTGCTTAGATCTCAAACATAGTAAACACCGTTGAACATATTACGCTTAACAAGGTACACGACATTGAAAAACCAACCGAAACAGGCAATTTCAAGCTGCTAAAACAAGAACTACACTAACAATGTCAAGTATTGCATGGTTATAAGAGATTTGAAACAAGTTTCATGTATAATCCAGAGACTGAAAACCCAAAAATCAAATAAAACCAACATTTCATGTAGATCCGACTATGATCTGCTGTCCGAATTTCACATCTAAGCCAAAACATGCATCCTAGTCAAGATTGAATGGAAAATGTTTTACATTCAGTGCTATTCAACTTTGTCTCCTCCTAATGGAAACCTTACAACATGCACATCTAGTGCTTGAATTCTATTTCCAAAGAATCCCTTTTCTTTTCCAAGCCTTGCAATGCTTTCACTTTGTTTCAACATTGGGAAACAAAAAGGGTGATTATGCTATGCCCCAAAGAAGAATCTAGAAAAGGATTTATGGAACCTTCAACTACAAAGTGTAAGGAATTTAACTTTAGGATGCAAACATGTTCCATTTATTGGCAAACATTAACATAAAAAATAAAGAAAAGAAAAACAGAAACTTTAGATTTAACTTAAGAGAGAAGGGGAAGGATAGATTTCCGCAAATCCAACACTTTGAAACCAAGCTGGGAAAACCCAGAATAGATAAATCGCAGATGGACAAATAAAAACCCAAAAATTTACCAAAACTTTTCATTTCCTAGCAAACATTCACATAAAACAAACACAAAACCTTAAAAAAAATAGCATGATGGAAAATCAGTTAAATAGGTGAGCCGCATTGCTCATTTTAAGACCAAAAACCCAAAACAAAACAAAAAGATAATAACTTTGATACAAATAGTGTATAGCTCACAGGTTTTTCTAGCTTGATCTGACAAGATCTTGAAACCCTTTTCTCCTCTCTTCTTCTTCTTCTTCTTCTCTCTCTTTACAGTTTCTCTCACTCTGCTAGGTTGGTGTGTCTTAGAAGCAGACAATGTGCTTTCTGTGATTTTCCTTTTATATAGCTCTCAGGACAACCTTTGAAACTGTGCTATTTTTCATTTTTTTCTTCTTCCTAATATTGAATTGTTGATTACTTGACACAGCTTATTTGCTTTTTTTTTTCTTCCCTTTTTATATCCTGGACTTTAACTTTAACTTTTTTAATATTTGGTGCACATGTAACTTGTATATATTAGTGATTAAGACGGCAATATATTATATATCATCAGATATTAATTAAAATTAATTTAATTTTAAAAGTTTTTAATCAATTGATTTATTAATAATATATGAAATAATATATCTACACGGTCTCCATTTAACTATCATTTTTTAAATTAATATTTATTTTAAATTCGATCTATAGATAATTGTGACAATTTCTCTTTATAATGAAGAAGTAATATTTACTTAATTTAATTTAGCTTTTATTCTCATACAACAATAGATACAAAATTTTGATAAATAAGTTTTATGTGAAATAAAAACTAAAAAAAATAAGAAAATCATTTCGAAAAAAATAATATTTTTCTACTAAAGAAATCTAACCATACAACTAAAGAATATTACTAGTAATATATTGAACATTAATTACTTGTATTCATTAATTTCAAACTAGTTAACAAATGCTACACCAATTCTGTTTGAAGAATAGAAGGACAAGTAAGGTGGTAGTACATTATTAATGTAGATTAGTCAGTTAATTAATGTACATATGTTGTTAGTGTTTCAATTTATTAAACTTAGTTAGCTCTAAGACGTCTTTTAAATAACTAAAAAGGCAGACATAAATGAAATGCGATTCAAATTAATTTTTCCATTTTCTTTTTGTGAATTGGAAACAATTTTGACAGTAAAAGAGACTGTTTGGAAGGTGGGAAAAAAAGCTGAAAAGTTGGTAGATTTTTGAATTCAAGTTGAGAAAGTGGGAGGGAATTATGGATGGTTGGTTCGGCAGTAAAAGAGGGAAGGTGGGCACTGTAATTATTAATAAATAGTTTCATGTACACTCATTCATCAACCACGTATTAATCCGAAAGTGAAAATCTAAATACAAATTGAGATATTTTTTACGGGTAAATTATAAATTTATTCACTAAACTTTATTCTCGTTCTTATTTTATTTTACTAAAATTTAGAATGTTTCAATATACTCTTTAAACTGCTCTTATTTTAATCATTGGAGTGTTAAATCATACATGAAAGAGTAATGTGTCCTATGTATGTTGACGTGTATTGTTTTTATTGACATGAAATCCATGTATCATTCACGTCATTTTTCCTTTTTTGAATTTATATTCTTCCTCTAAAGATGAAGACTTTATAGTTTTATCCATGTGTCAGGTCGGTGATGCAATTATATATCATTCTCCGATGTCATCTTTGGCAATTCAAGATGTCAATAAACTCTTCTCAATATTGACCGTCAATCTATTAGTTTTAGTTTTTGCCTAAATCACTTTAAAATTAGTAAAACTCAACCCTAAAGTGAAAAATAATAAAACTCCAAACCACTCTAATCTATAATCTTCATCATCCGATCAACGTAGAATCAAAACCATTAATTTTTAACATCCTTTACATGGGTTATTTTTAATTTTGTTTAGAGCAGTGTAAGAAAATAAATAAAATTCAATGCTATTTGATCCTTATTTTTGGGGCTCGAAAGCAAGTAAATGTAGCCAATGTATTTATTATTAAGGCCATTTTTATTTTACTTTTAAGATTTAGGTGTACCAATACTATTTATTAAGGTTTTTGTTTCAACTTTACGCATAAATTTCCTTACCAAAAGGAAGGCATAAATATAGCACTCTTTATAGGTACCGGGGACGGGCAAACAACGGGTAAAATTAATTTACTTGTTGGTTTGCAGTGTAATTTGATTTTTTACTTTTTAAATAATTATAAAATTTCAATTTAAATATAGATATTAGAATTTTATGGTTTTTTATTTAACACGAAATTTATTAATGTATATTTGAGGTTGGTGTTTGAGGTTTAGAATGTCATTTGTGTGCAGAGTGAGAGAATTACTTAGTTAGATCGATATAGCATTCAAGTCATATATTGAAGGATAGGCTTTCTATAAGGGTTGGTTATTTTATTTCATTTGATTTGAATATCGACGACGTTTGTATTTTGCATTCGAATGAACTCGGGACAACTCTTTCTTTGAGTGTGTTTATTCTAAACGCATTTGAGAGTAAGTTTTGCTAACTTGTTATTTGTCGAGGTCAGTTACGGGGCGAAGTAGGAAATTAAGTTGGACGTATAGTAACGCATTTTGGCGGGGGTGCAAAGATGTTTTAAATTTTGGTTGGCTAGGTATTATTCAATAAATAAAAATATTTTAATTTGTTCCTTACTGATATAGAGTAGGCTGTTTTGTACAGTTTGAAGCTTTAAGTAGCTAGAAAATCATGGAATTCATGAACAAATTAATTTGGTGGTATCAGTTTCGTGAGTGTATTAATGTTTTTGGCCCCTATGTTTGAAAGGAAAGATAACCAAGAGGGGGGCATTGAGAGTGTAATTTAATGAGTCAAATCATAGTCTTGTCTCAACCACCTCGAGCTGCTCAGTCAAACCATTGTTAAATGGTTTTAATCGGAAGAGATATTTCATTAAACACGGGACCAAGAAGCTTAACACATGAAGATTGGGATTTTAGTACATTTAATTGACTGACTTGTTGCAATCGTGATGGTAGCGTTGGTTCAAGATTCTCTGTGCTTTTATACTTGTGGGGTGCCTCTGCCCTTTGTGCTGATCTCAACTCACCAGTTCCTCGGATCTTGTGGTTATCATATGGTTCCGCCCTTTTCCAACTTCCTTTTGATGTACATTGCTGATTGCTTCTGGTTAGGGAAGCAGCCATGATTAAACTATGAAAAAATTAAGTTATTTAATTTTAAAATAAATAGGATTTTAAAAAATAATTAAAAGATAAAAGTTAAGAGAATAAGCTTTTAGTTTTACTAATTTTAAAATTCAAAGGTCTTAAAATGTAATTAAATCATATAATTTTGGAGTTAAGGGTTATTTCCATTAATTTTAAAACCGACACTATCCTAGAAACAACTATACCGAAAACTTTTGGGAGGAAAAAGAGCTCAATTCCAATAATTTTAAAATTTTTAATGCCATAAAATGTAATTAGATCATCAAAATTAAGGGCAATTGTTCCTCTCACCTATAAGGTAGCCATGCCTCTTTTGACATGGACTCAACAGTTAGAGGCGTGTATGCTGATGGTGCTAGCCATGCAGTCCGGCCTGCCGCTACTTTCGATGAACTTCAAAGATTCTTCAAAGGTGTAGTTTAGGTTTTAGGATCAATGTCTTGGGTTTGTGTATCAAATTGAATAAAAGAAATTTAAATTAATCGAGTTTACGTGTATTATTTTATTATTTAATTTTATTTGAAATTTTAGAATCAAGTTGAGTAAAATTAAAAAAAAATCCTTCAAGTACTAAAATAATAATAAAGTATAATTTTAGGGGCCAAAGTATAACTATTTGTTTGTCTTATTTATCCATGCTATAATGAAGTAAAAAAAAGAAATTAAGTTGAAAAAATAATTTGATGTGTTAGACGAAGACAAAAGAGTAGGTATGAAATAGGGATATCCCATTTTATGCAAAAACTGATTTTGCATAGATTTGGTGATTATATCATATCAGCCACACGTTAAGAGAAAGATTCTTCATCACAGCTCAAGTTGGTTGCACCAAAACAAAACCTCTACTTGTTGAGTTCTCACTTGAATTTGCTTTTATTTTTGGAAGATAGGTTTTTCTTTACATTTCCCTTTTAATATTATAATTTTTCAAGGTTTAGTCCAAAAGTAAAATAATACTTTTTTTACTCTCTCTAATTTATGAAATCTTTTACTTTGGCCATTCTACTCTCATTCTAACATATATTTAACTTCTGATTTTTTTACATAAATAAGTAGCAATATATTTTTAATTTATTCAAAACTTGACGTATATGATCTACGTAAACAGAACATAAAATTCAACTGTTAAATTATTAAAATATCAAATTTTACAATATATATATATATATATATATATATATATTATTTTCCATATCTAAAATTATCAAGTGAATAACACCCACTTGTTTCCCCCCTTTCATTTGCCATTGCACGAAGAAAGTGAAAGTGGGGTTCATGTAGATGATGTATGGACCAAATTTAAAAATAAATGTATATTTGATTTTGAATTTTGTTTATTTGTTTGATGTGATTAGGATCTAATTATAACCAGTCCACTATTTTCTTACTTATGAAAGGGAAACACTAATGAATGAAGTTGGAGTGGTAAGGTGGGTTCCATAAAAGGAAGAATGAGATAAAATTAGGTGACAAATTGTTTAGGCTAAATTAGTTAAATTTTCTATTTATTTATTTATTTTTGAAATATCCATACTTTTTTATAATTGGACCAAATAACATACATTGTGATTTAATATGAGAAATAAGTTTATGTTGTTTTTAGTGATATTAATTTAATTAAATTAAAATATGTAAACTTAATATCAATCTAAATCAAGAAGATAACATGAAGCTATAATGGATTTCAATAGTGGGTTGATATGTTATTTCTTAACTAATTTTGATTAGATCAAATAGAAGGGACAACTATTGCACTTTATTAGGAAGTTTCATCAAACTTTGTTCCAAACATATGAGAGAGATATCCAAATTACTTTTGGTTAATTACTCGTTTCATTGATTATGCTCATCCTGAAATTTTATTTGTTTTCATAAGAAAATTTCGTGTTATTAATGCATATGTAATCACTCTAAAAAATATTTCTGGATCAGCCAATGACAATAATATAATGAATATTTTTTTATTAATACGAGGTGATTATAAGATAATATCTATTCACAATTTTCTTAATCAATTGACAATCAAACACCATACATACAATTGTTTAAGCTTGAGACTTTAAAGAAAAACAATACTTTCTTTTACGATCCCTTAATGAATTGAATATTATAATTATATATATAAATAAACAAACTAATTTGGTAGGGTTGGGCATACAAATGTTTTGTCCATTAGCTAAGTTCTAGAAAGAAAAGTATAAAGACAACAATTGTTGTCCCAATAATGAATATGATGCTTGTATTGAAAGTGTGTATTTCTCACGGTGGATATTGGGGAAATTGACTACTCGCAAGATACAAGCAGTAGTCCCAATTATTTAGATTTGTTACCAAACCCTAGATTATATTCTTAAGCAATGTCCATTTCAAAATCACCGACAAAATTTTCAATCTATAATTGTAATCTTTTGTGAACAAAAAGAAAATTCAATTTGTCTCACAGAAAAGAGAAAGCCAATTCTAAATGAACTTGATCACCTTTGCCTCCATTACCAAACATTACTTGCACATATTTCATGTTTGTTTTTAATGCTATCTTCACCAATGATTGCACTGTTCAATTATGAAAAGCAACAACATCGTTCCATGTCTGATATTTTGGGCTCCAGTTTGGGCATGACCCATAAATAAAGGTCTAATTTATTATGAGGTCCCTTTCTCTCATAGTCCAGCCTTCTTCTAAGATGTTCTTTAGGACAAATTTTAGTATACTTTATAAAATATATATAAATACATAGATAAATGAAATAAATGATCGTTTCATACAAAGCATTACTATGGAGAATCAAATGACTTGAAATTTAAAATATAGGGAACATTTTAGTGTAGAATATGAATATGTTGTAGTGCAATGCTAAGGTATTATTAATTTGGAATAAGGAAAACTGAAATTGAGATATTTATTCATTTTAGAAAGAGATATAACGAGTCGGGTTTTTGGTTAACTTGATATAAGATATATACTCATTTTCTCGATTTAGTCCGATTTGATAAGTATATTCCTTTTACCCAATTTTGAATCAACTTGAATTATTGAGATAAAAATTTATATTCGATTAGATCCAACATAAATATACATTTAATCATTTTATTCGGTAAATAGAAACATGATTAAAAACTATATAGAGAGATGATATTATAATAATTATCCCTAAATTTGTAAAAGAAGATTATTCCAGTACTCCGTATCAAATTAGATCGAAGATTTTTCATCTTAAACTCAAATATGATTTAAACCTAATTTTTTATATAAAAAAAGACTCTATTGAATCATGTCAGATTAAAATATATCGATTTCGAGTTATATTTACTTTCTTAATTTTAGGTGAGGAGAGCTAATCCCAATCCAAGATTAAATAGGTCAATGACTTTATAAACAATTTAAAGTAATGCTTGCATATCATATCAAATGAAGTTATATAATATCTACATTCACTACCAATATCACATAGCTACCAGCTAATTACTAATCAGTGAATTTGATTCATGAATAACTTTTAAACGGTGATAAGAGTTTTTTTATTTTAGCTTAATCAATACTCAATTCTGAAAAGAAAAAAAAAAACACTGGGAAGAGATTATATTTAATCTATTTTTTAAAATAAAAATCAGTATTTTTCATCGGGATGCATGATAACACTGCATTCCACTACAAAATATTCATATTCCACACTTTAATTCAACGGTGAAACTTCATACCGGTTAAGAGAAGCTTGGTCTCTCGTCAATTATTTTGGAAAATATTAATTAATATTAAAAAATATGTTTTAAAAAATAAACAAAGAAAAATTTAACAGACGTCTTCAAATAAAAAATAGAAAATACTTTAATTCCGGTTTAATAAATTCCTAATTCCGCTTTTGTTGTGATTATTAATGAATAATATCTTTGTTTAATATTTGTAGTCCTCTTCCTTCCAATGTATAAATATATATTTCTAGTTCTTATGACGAAGCAAAATCAAATGTAAATTAAGGATTTCAAATAAGAGTGATGGGAGATCTCAAACCAGGTGATCACATCTTTGCCGAACGAGATTCCTACGAGCACCACGGTATCATACGTACATATTTGTTCCATTGAAAACTTAAATAAGAACGAAATTTGTTTTACAGGAATATTTGTGGCAGAAGCCAAGGTCATAAACCCCAGCACCGGTACGCAACGAAAACTAAAACGTGCAGTGATTCATTTGGGAGAGAATATGAAGGGCAAAGCAAGTGATGGGCCATGCCACAGATGTTTTAACAAGCACGACGGGTCGGGAGTTACATTAACATGCATGAAATGCTTCCATAAAGGTAACTCATTCTATCGCTACAAATGCGGTGTGTCGATTATTACCTACGTGTAATGGGAGTTGCTCTACTGCGAGCTGCGACGAACCTGATATCGTGATTAAGAGAGCGTATGATTTCCTCCATAACCAAAACTTCGGAGATTATAACTTCGTCATCAACAACTGTGAGCACTTCGCCACCACTTGTAAAACGGGGAAGGCCCGTTGTCAAAGAAGCGCGGTCAATAATGGACTGATGGAAATGGTTCAATATAGATATGGTTTTGTCAATCAAGTTGCGGAAATGCTTTTATTTTAGGGTTTGGAATTTATTATTCGTATAAATGCACCAGCATCAAAATGTTGGAATCCCATTTTGCAGCACTTGGGCCTTCACTGTGACCTACAACTAATCTCACTGATGAGCATGCGAATGAAATCGACAAAAAAAAAAAATACATAAAAAGTCGCAAATGTAGTTTGCTATTGATTCTCCACTTTTCTTTTTATGATGATATGACTCGTTTTTAGCTTTACCGATTCTCGATTCTCCAAGAAAACAAAAATCCTGAAAAGTGATAAATTTGATCCAAAAAACTAATAAAAACACTCTTTCCATTCCACTACAACAGATTCACATTCCACACTGAGATTATTAATGTATTATCTTTGTTTAACATTAAGCCATTCGATTCTCTCCACTGTAATCCTATGCCTTCCAACAATCATTCTATCTAACTATCTATCTATATATTTGCAGATTTTTTGAAGAAGTAATTACAGGTGATAGAAAGAATTTAAACAAGAGAAATGGAAGAACCCAAACCAGGTGATCATATCTATTCCGATCGCGGTTCCTACTATCACCACGGTATATTTGTGGGCGAAGCCGAGGTTGTGAACCCCAACAAAGATAAAAGACGAAAACTAAGCCACGGAGTGATTCATTTCCGAGGAATCCAGAGGAACGCCAATGGCAAAGCAAGTGAAGCAGAATGCCAAAAATGTCTCCACAAGGCCGATCATATGGGAGTTGTGTTAACATGCATCGATTGCTTCCTGAAAGAAAAACGGCTCCATCGCTACGAATACGATGTGTCGTTAATTACCTTTAATACTACGAGAAACGGGAGCTGCTCCACTTCCAGCTGCGATGAGTCTGATGTGGTAATTAAGAGAGCGTTTGATTTCTTCCATAACCAAAGCTTCGGAGATTATAACTATTACTTCAACAACTGCGAGCACTTCGCGACGGCGTGTAAAACTGGGAAGGCCCGTTGCAATCAGGCCGCGTTGGGAGCAGGAGTGGCCGGTGTCGTCGTTTATAAAGTTGCGAGACGAGTTACAAAGGGTATATTGTGGTAGGATTTAGTTCACTAATCATGGGGGGGAAATGCATCCATTAACTGATGAAAATGCTTCAAAATGTGCTTTCTCTATCTTGTACCCAGAATTAATAGTGTCTCTTGTACTCCCAAAGCAATACAAATACATGTTAGACTATATTAATTAATGCTTCGTGCATGTGTTCCTTTACATGAAATAAACAAATGTCAAATGCATAAACGGCCACAATTACATCTCTTTAAGAAGTTTCCTCTAACTTTTGACACCCAACTTTTAACGCTCTCAAAATTTTTATAAAGACGTCAATAATTTTCCCTTAATTATTGACAATATTCATACATTTTACCCATGTAGTTATTAGAACTCAGGACTTTAAAAAATAATATTTCTTTTATCTAATGTAACCACTTAATGACATTATCAAGCATGCCACCTATTGGAAGACTAGCAAAAATTGCCGAGTCTAAGGAAACGTGGCAAAGATCACATGAAATAGGCTAATTCAACCTTGATTCACAAAATTAAAATAAAGTTTATTTAGACTTGGTTATATATTATTTATTTTATGTTAAAGTCCGTGACTTCCCACCTTATTCAAGTCTTCCGTCGTGGCTTTTTAAGCAGTCAAACCCTCGACAAATCTCATAAATCTATTAACCCTACCACCAAAATTTTCATATCAAACGCACAAACCAATCAATTCTTTCATAATTTTTCTTTTAAGCTAATGGCTTCCTCTAAAGTTACTAATAACTTCACTGTTACATTCATTTCCGCCATTGTTTTGCTTATGAGCTTTCAACATGTTTTGGCCATCAGAACTCTAGATGAAGAAGATGAAGTCCCCTCATTCAACGTGAATCTTATACTTCAATCACTTCAAAGGGGTCCGGTGCCGCCGTCGGCCGGGAATCCATGCACGAATATACCTGGACGCAGCCGCGGACAGTGCACGTTGACTGAAATGAATACTATTGGTGGCCGCTTGGCTGCTTATCATGCTGCACCGCCGGCGTTTCCGGAGCTCGTAATGAAATTCGCTTCAGCATCGGCCGGTAGTAATGGAAGTGATAAAAAATAAGAATTTTTTTTCAGCAGCTTTGACTTTTCTCATGTGATGTATTATATAACATACAACTTCACCCACAACAATATTCCTTGAAATAACAAATGTATTTGTTGTGAAAATCATCAAATCTAATGTTAAACAATTCATTTACTGATATTTTTTTAAATTTTTTATTGTTTTAATATAAATTTCATATGAATTATGTTACACATCTAGCTTGAAAATTTCAGTTTAAAATTAGATTAGAGATTATATAATCATATTTGATATTTATGCATGTGCATAATAGAGGGAATTCAGTATTACAAAATTCAAGACGTCAATCTTTATTCATTCTATCATTTTTTTCTCGGAAAAACATTTATTGTATCATGATTTATTAAAAATATTAAACCCATTAAAACATATTTAAAATACAATAATAATTTGTAATATGTACATTACATATCAACCGTGAACAATGCTCGGTGTCTTTCAATGCGTTAGCAGGGTGCATCACGCCTAATACTCTCGTAGTGCGAGAGGAAATTAAAAGCACTTGGTTTACGTTGATCAAAGGGGTCTGTTGACTGTTGGTGTTTCATGGCAAAATTATGGTACCAAACGAATCAGCATTAAGAACTTTATTACTCCGAGAATTCCATGGATCAAAAATAGGGGGACATTCAAGAATAAACCGATCACTGTCGGCAATTTTTTATTGGAAAAACATTACACTCGAAAACTATTATTAGGTAAAACATTTGTGCTAAAGGATGACTTTCAATGTTTCTTTCCCAATGATAATATCCAAGCCCTTTGAAGAATTATAATGTATTATTTGTGTTTTAGAAGATGTCTTTTCAATGATATTCTTTAGTATTAAAAATATTTTAGAAATGTAGTATTATTGACCGTTATTATATGTTTTGATCGTTTTTTAAAACAAACAATCCATTAATTTCATACTAAATTCAAGTCATTTCATAGACTAAACTTTGATACATTATTTTATATATAAAATATATGGTAACTACGGCCTTTCTTCAAATATATATATATATATATATATATTGTAATTTCTTAATTAATAATATTTGAAAATGTAATTGTTTCTCTTTTTATTTTATTTTTTTACATAATTTTCTTGTTTCTATATCTTTTATTATTGATGATAAGAAGATTATGTAATAATAATAATAATAATAATAATAATAAATTGATATTAAAGTTTGTACTTAGGGTAGCTGAAGTGGACAGTTTATTTTAAATGATGAGATCATTTTATGTCTCAAAAGATGTGCATGTTTGTACTATTTTTTTAAAATGAGGTCTCTGAAACATTTTATAAAAAGGATTTATTTGTCAAATTTAAAATTATGAGAGATATATGAATTTTTTTTTACTAAAATTCACTATAAAAATGATTAAATATACTATCAAAATCTTTGGTTGCAACTTTCTCTGTCATTTTCCCGAAAACCAAACTAAAATTTTATTTTTCCTTCAAACAAAAATATTGTTAGAACATAAAGGTGAGAAATTTTGAGATCATGTCAAGTCACACTTATACATAAATGAGCCTATTTTCATCTGTCTTGTATTTCTTTGATAGCCAGAATTCATATTTCAAAATAATAGGTGAGAATTTAAACACTTCACGTTTGAAACCGACATGAAGTTCAATGGTGTGCGGAGACTAGTTAATTCTCTTTAGACAGTTTGATAGAGAGCAAGTGGGAAGAGACTGCTTAATTGCTCACAACTATGGCTTCAGGCTTAACTTATTGCAACCGGTCATTTTATGAATGTGTTGGGTCATTTAAACACAATATTTATTGGGTTTTCACCTATCAAACATGGTTGCTAATTCATATATTTAATATATTCATATATTATTGTGATCATATTTATTTTACTTTTTTATATAGTGTAGGAGAAATAAAACATTTTATAATCAAAATTATAACATTTTCATATATCTTATTTAGAATTTTTGTTTGCATAAAAATTATTTTATATATTGTTGGTGGGGTATTAAATAATATTATTTTTTTATTAATTTTGGATAAATATAAGATAATATATGTTCAAATATAACTTTTAATTATTTGATATTAATCGTTCACGCCTTATTACTTATAGTGCTCAAAATCAAGACTTCAAAGAATAATATGATATATATATATATATACTGAGATTGCTTTGTTTAAGGAATAATATTTGAATAGGTATATTTATGAATTTAGAGTCTACCCTTTCAGCTCAACGTGTTTTGGAGTGAGATTGTTTTTTTTTATTGGCATAGACGAAGTGAATGGAAAAGACGCGTGTGTGTATGTATATGTACACACGATCTTTTGTAATCTTATTTTCTTTGCGAGAAAGAGAGAGATTGTGTTTGGCTATAAAAGAAAGAAAATGCGGCAACACCTGATGCAGACGCAACCCATGGTTGCAGCTTATTATCCCAACAATGTTACTACTGTACATATTCAACAGGTCCTCCCTTCCCTTCCCTTACCCCCCCCCCCCATCCCTCTCTCTTGATCTGTCTGTATGTGGAGTATTTTTATTCTCTTACAGTCATATTTCTGGTTATTTTTTAGTTTCTTTGATTAGTATAAGCTGTAGTCTTCTTCCTGTTGCCTGTAAAAGCTGCTATCATCTTTCTCCTCTTGTTTGATGACTGTTGGTTTAAGGTTTTAATTGTGCATGTGTGTGTATACATATATATATATATATATATATCTGTTATTCATGCTGCTAAGGACTTGCCTTCAGTTTGCACCAAGTTATTCATGTTTACATTCGAGCAGTTTTCTCGCATTTATCAAGTAATGAGATGCTTAACACTTGAGACGTTTTTTTCCTGAGCTGATGATCTTAGTAAGTTAGTGTAATGCTGGTGGTGCTGTTTAAATTACTTGGTTATGAATCAAACCGGTCTTCTGCTCGGTTGATTTCGAAAGGAACTTTAACTCGGATTCTAAGAAACTATATACAAACATCTTCTTTCCAATTCATTGCTGCATGTTACTTTCGATGAACTTCACTTTTATGCATGCAGTACCTCAACGAGAACAAGGCGTTGATCTTAAAGATTGTTGAGAGCCAGAATTCCGGAAAATTGAGCGAATGTGCTGAGTAAGTGCTGATTAACAGTCCTTGGCTTGCAATATCTTAATGCTCAATGGCTTGTTATAATCCAACGATAAAGTACTTGTAAAGATATTTGTGGTTGATGTCATAGAAAGGTTACTAACTAGCTCTGAATATTGTAGGAACATAGCAAGGCTGCAGCAAAATCTCATGTACTTGTCCGCAGTTGCAGATTCTCAACCGCAACCGCCCCCACTTCACGCTCAGGTACAAGCTCAACCGATGACGCCGCATTCACTTATGGCCTCACAGGCTTCGATGTTGTATGCTCCGCAACCATTTTCAGCCCTGCAACAGCAACAGCAAGCGTTGCTCAGTCAGGTTGGCATGAGCTCCGGCGGATGCACAGGCCATAACATACTGCAAAGTGAAGCTAGCACTGCAGGCGGCAGTGGAGGAGCACTCGGGGACGCAGGGTTTCCGGATTTTGTGCGTGTCTCTTCTGGAGTAGGCATGCTCCGTGGAAGCAAGCTAGATATGGGGAGTTCCGTCGTGCCACCCGAAGGTCAGTAGGATGAAAAGGGTGAAACCCTTTACTAAAAAAACAGCTGATGATGGGAATTGAGAGTTGGTTATGGAGATGGAAGTATTATTGAAAGAGATCATAAGACTTTGCAAGTTTTAATTGTTACAATCATAATATAGTAATTTGGCTTGTTTTTCATCTCTTTTTGGCAAAATCGAACTTTAGATTATCGATCGGATATCGTAATATATATATTCAGTATGAAACTATGTATCTTCCTGCAGAAATTCTAGTTATAGAAACAAGTACTTATGCTAAAAAAAAAATATTTCTTGGTTAGTTGAACGATTTATGCCCGAACTTCGTACAACTTGAGCTAGATTCGATTTAATTGCACCCGTAATCATACAAAAATATAAGGAGATTGAAATTCAAACAAATTCTCTGAAACCCCTCTCCAAGCAAAGCTTTCATCCAAAAATTCCAGTGAAGACATATCATACGGAAATGTCTCCGATAAATTCAGATCATCGATCTTTGCAAGCGAATCGGCTTGGAAATTGGGAATATTATGAACTTGATTTGCTTCCTCAGTAATTGAGCAAGGCTCTCTAATCTCAGAGTTTTTGCCAGTGAGTTGTTGAACAACTGCCCGAAACTCTGCTTCATTGCATGCTTTAACCATCACCGGAGTCGAAATATATTTGATTTTGATGGGGTTTTTCTTGGGTTTTACGGTTTTTTGAGCTTTATCACAATGATAATCTCTAAGTTTCCCCATGTTTTTGCACTCAGATATCCGGTTTTGGTTTGGTTACTTAGAAATGCCTTGTTTTTGTAGGCAATGGCGTGCGGAAGAGATGAAGACACAGCTTTCTGTTCGGGGAAAGACTATCATGGGAAGTGGCAAAATTGACCGTGACAAAAATAGAAAATTGGTTTTCAAAGACTCCCAAACTGACTGTTTGGGGAGTGGGAAAATTCTCTTGTTTTCCCGAATTGTCTGCTCAAACTCAGAGTTAGAAACTGGACAAATTAAGTTGGTTTGTTTGACTTAAAAGTAAAAGATAGTAGGATTAATTTTGTCACGCACGTTTGTTTCAAACTAGATATTTAATTGTTTATTTTATTACTACCTCATTAGTTATTGTTGTTGTCATATTTGACCCGGAATGTGCATTTTGGTATCTTTATTATCAAGGCATCAAAGGGCTCTAAGTCCAGTCAAAGGTCAACATTCCCCACAAATTAGTTTATTAATTGGAGTTTTCTTTTAATATAATAATGAGATATTGTTGTCGTGAATGATTTATTTTTAGTCTTTGGAGACGGAAAGAAAATAAAAGAAATTTATTGGTGACCCCTAAATGATTAACTTTCTTTCATAAGTTGTATTTGTTCAAAAGACTCTCATTTAACTGATAATAATTAGTTATACACTTTTATAAAAATCGTTTTCGAATCTTATGATTTTAAAAAATAATAATAATCTTTTTATTCATTAAAAATCACTTTATTCTTAATTCAATCATTTTTATAGAGACATATAATATATTTGGAGAATTAGACATCACGTTTATCTAAATCATTAAGTATTTTGGCCCCTTGCATCCTACGTGAAGACAATCTAAAACATGAATGGACAAACAGCACCTTAGGTCCCTAAATTTTTACGTTCATCTAAAAAACCCCATCTTTTTAAAATGGTTCAGGCCCAGCTCCTCCTGCAATTAAATAAAGGGTAAAGTACACAAATAGTCCCTCGAATATAGAGTGATACTTTGTTGAATCCCTCGACTATTAAAAAGTTACAAAATAGTCCTTAGACTATAGGGTGTTGCTTTGTTGAGTCCCTGATTATTAAAAGCTATAAAATGGTCACCCGATTATTTAGTATGTTCCAAACTTGTCATTTTCTGTTAAAAATTTGATAATAGTCTGAGTTTGATGTTAACATGTTGACTGAGATGTGATATTTTTTTTTATAGATTATGGGATCAAATTTTATCATATCTCAGTCATTAGGTTAACATCCAGCTCAGACTGCCGTTAATTTTTTAATGGAAAACGACGATGAAACATACTAAATAGTTAAGTGACCATTTCGTAACTTTTAATAGTCAAGGGACTCAACAAAGCATCTCATATAGTCGGGGGACCATTTGTATACTTTACCCTTAAATAAATTATTAACTCATTAATCTTAATTAAGTCTATAACCCGATGAATAATGATTAAGGTCAACATAGGAATTGTGGCTCTATATTCCGGATCGCTACATTTAAATGCGTGGATTTTAAGTGTAACTGAGGTAAAACATGCAAATATAAGAATAAGATTCATTTAAAAGTTTAAATTTCAAGCCATTCTTTCTTTTTTCTTCAAGTTACGACTTTACAAGCCAATGGCAGATGATTAATGGAGGTAATAAGCTGCGTACGAATTAGGTTAAGGGTAAATTTATAAAATTTTAAGAAAAATTATATTTTTAATAAAAGAATATAAAAAAATTATAATATATAAGAATTTAAATTTTCTAAAAAGACGAGTCACTATTCAATTCATCCCTAGAAGCATGATCCTTTGCCTAGACTCATCCAATGGTTGAATAATTTGTTGGATTTTATATCTAATTTGGCTGACTAAGTGAATTATATTTAATAATATATAATTATGAACAAAAAATATTGTTAAAAATTAACATTAAATAAATAGTGAAATTTGGATGGACGAGCCGGATAAAAAAGAAGGCCCAACCCAAACCAAACTAGAGTTGAGAAAGAAAAAAGCAGTGAAACATGTGAAGTGAACAAAGTCGGTCCAACCCATTAACAGATTTATAATAGGTACATGCCCCCACCTTCACCCAAATTATTTAAGAGAACTTTAAAATTAATTAGTTTATCATAATTGTGTCACAATCAACGTGTCTCAAAAGCAAGCCAACTTTCATAGGTGTTAGTATTTTGTCAACCTCTTCCAGGAGCATTGAAAGAAAAAAAAAACAATACTCTCTGATTTATAGCTTAGAGTCCTATTTTCATCAAATTTTAAACTCTTAATTAGTTATATATATACACTAAATATTTTAATTGACGTTCCAAAATTAAAATTGAAACGACAACATGATACACTGATATAAGACAAGGGAATTTGTTAAGTAATTTGAAAATTGGAAGTCTAATTTTAAAGTAGGTAAACAGTTAATAAGGACAAGAGAGAGGCAGCGCGATATATTTTGTCCTCACGTGTGTTACTTGGGACAGTGGGATGCTCAATAATTGGCTTTGAAAAAATCAAGTCAAGGAACACAGCCTCAAGTTTTCTTGTATACGATTTTATTTTTATTTTACTTTTAGTTTCAGGAAAAACTATATTGATAGTCACTTAGTTTTTAAGATATTTTTATTTTGGTTAACAAATCTTTAAAAATTGCATTACAGTCGTTAAACTTTTAATTCGCTTTCATGTTCCTTTAGCTGCCTTTAAAAATGCCGATTTGACATGTTAAAGTGTTTTTCTTTCATAATCCATTGAGTTATTTCAATAGTAAAAGAAAATATTATTCTCCTTAAATGTCTCGGTTCGAACAGTTATATGTGTAGGATGTGTGTCTGTTATCAATAATTAAGAAAAAATCATGAACATATTCTATTTTATAATCACTCTAGATTGTTAAAAAAAAAAACTATGCAAACTATATAGAAAATCACATCCCTTGCATATATTCAGTATTTGTGTGGACTTTTCCAACTTCCAAATACTTTGAGACATTTTCGAGATGAAATCTCCAAAGTGATACTTCAAAGACGACGACAGCATCGCATCTTCATGTTATTTTATTTATTAAAGAAGTCCAATCAATTGTTCAACATTATAAAATTTATTTGATCCATCACGTCGGTTCAATCATAAATTTATAATTTGTTTGACATAAGTTAATTTACCTAGTAGTTAAATAAATTATTATTATTTTTAAAGGTATTCAAACATCAATAACCGCAGGGGTTATGGGTTATTGAGCACAATCACATTAGTTATTTTAAATAATAACTAATCTAATTCACTATTTAAATAAGAGTTTTTCTCCATTTTTTAATATAATTAGAGGAGCCTTTATCCTATTTGATAATTCAGAAATTATATGTCTTCGTATAGACGTTTTTCCGTTCATAATAAATAATTTAAATGAATAGATTACAATTTCCAATTTGATTGAGTAAACCTTAATTAAATTTATATAAGTAAAATTCTTGTTGTTCGGTCAAAATATTATAAGTTTTAATTATATCTAATTAAAAACAATATCTATAAATGAGTTGATACTAGTTTCTTTATTATATTTTCCATGTCAATCCAAAAAGATTTTCTTTCTCTTTGATTCTTAATCATATAATAAAATATTGTGGACCGACACTTTCTTACATTTTATATCAAAGCAACAATCGTACAATTGATTCGACGAAAAATATTTCCGTTAAAAGGTTTTATTTCGTTTGTTAGGAATTGTCTTATGAAAGGCAGACTAATTTACGGTTAATATATGACGTTATCGGATACATTAAAAGATATTTGATAAATTTGATTTAGCGTTATCGGAAATATCGAGTAATAATAATGTAATAGGTGGAAATCATGAAGAAATATTAAAAAATTTGTCAACCGGCAAACTTAGCTTATCGGTTTGTATCGATACTTTATAAAAATATATTGATCTATAACAATATAACAGGTAAAAAATGACAAAACCAGTCTATAAATGACAAAACAGGTAAAGCGCTACCAGATATATTGAAAGTGTCGATACTTTATAAAAATATATTAATCCATAACAATATAACAGGTAAAAAAATGACAAAACCAGTCTATAAATGACAAAACAGGTAAAGCGCTACCGAATATATTGAAAGTGTCGATACTTTATAAAAATGTATCGATCCATAACAATATAATAGGTAAAAAAATGAAAAAACCGGTCTATAAATGACAAAACAGGTAAAGCGCTACTGGATATATTAAAAATGTCGATACTTTATAAAAATGTATCGATCCATAACAATATAACATGTAAAAAATGACAAAATCGGTCTATAAATGACAAAGCAGGTAAAGCGCTACCAGATATG